GATAAAAGCAGAAAAAAAATCAAACCTCCCTTATGCTCTCCTAAATTAAATTTAGATACAGTATATAATAAAATATACTGATTGAAAAACAGATTAGATCTCATAGTAATGATTTAAAACATTTATTAGATATAATTTTGTTATTTTTGCTTTTTTTTCTTATCTTCCCTCCAGATTTCTGAAGTGGCCCTTTGAAAAACTGTTTTCGTGGTTAAGAATCACACACCCCTGAAATTAACATGAAAATTTAACAAAAAAATCCAGTTTTGGATTTTCCAACACTTAACTGGTCAACGGTTTCAAATTTTTTTAAACTGTATGAGGGAAAAATGTGCAATATTACTGCTAAATACTGTAATAAGTGTAGGGTTTGCAAATAAAATAGTTAAAAAAAAAACACCAAATTGGGTCTAAATTCTGTTTTTCCCTCCTGTCCCCGCAACACCAACAACTATCAGCAGCTCAGTCACTATATTTTATATCTACCATGAGCATCTATAGAAAAGCGGGTCGACCCTGATAAACACATGTAGACATATAGAGCCGTGGTTCCCAAATTACTTTTCTCAAAACCCCATATTTCCTGATATCGATTTTCTAAATCACTGTATCGATATTTATTAAGACTTAAAATGTTAACTTTCTTGTGTTGTAATTTTTTTATAAATAAGATATGGAACTTATACATATAAAACACACTGAGATTTTTAAAGTTAGAATTTTTGGAGAAAAAAATTGCAATATATCGCTTTGCTAACAGTATCGCAATATGTCGTATATTGCATATCGTATCATGCCCAGTTTCATAAGATAAGATAAGATAAGATAAGATAAGATAAGATAAGATAAAACTTTATTGATCCCACAGTGGGGAAATTTGCACATTACTGCAGCTCAGTACAGGAGAGGGTGAGATAGAATAAAGAAAGATAAGTTAAAGAAAAGTAAAAAAAATCACAATATATATATCACAATATTCTTACAACACACAGCTCTACTTCCACCTCTCCCAAAGACACGGTCAACCTTTATTTCTTTATCAAAATAAAGAAAGAATAAAGTGGTTACAAACTTTTATTTGGAAAAGTAAAAAAAGAACGGACTAATAAAGAGGTTTAGAATAAATGCTTGGTTTTTAGAACTATAATAGCAAACCTGTTATTACATCCATCATGTGGAATAGCTGTAAACTAATAAATCCTGCTCAGTGTTTGTATTTTTAGTGTTTCAGGCCTTTTTTTTCATCACCTCTTAAAGCTGTTGACACCTTTTCCTTGTGGACACTGCAGGCAGGTGGCAGCTGAGTGACTGGAAGAACAGTGGGTTTCTGACAGCTTCCAGTCAAAGCTTTAACAAGTCCTTTGCAGTTTATTTGCACCTTTTTGCTTCTGGTTGAACTTTTAGTGACCTGCAGTGATTGGCTGAAACAAGCTGTTAAATCGTCCCGTCGTCACATAAAAACGAGGTTATTTTGGGAAGGTTGCACCAAAAAGAGCCCAATAATCTAATTTTTGATGTTATAATGGTTTGTTTTGTCTCATTTTAAATAACAATTAGTAGATCTATATTCAAACTGTGATATGTTATTTAACAAGCAGCTAATAAACTGGATGACTCAGTTGTAGTTGGTAGGGAATTTGTGATGTAGCCACAAAACTTCAGGAGGAAATTGAAGTGCACAATTTGTTCTTAAATATATTTGTCACCCCGTTCAGACACATCGCACTCAGAGGTGGAGGACAGGTTCACTAACAAATGTAAAAAAACAACAACAAAAAAAAAACCAAAAAGACTTGACACAGAAGCACGTGTGCTATGCTCTGCACACACTCTCAGACACACAATGCGCGTACCCCGCCCCCCAGCCAGCTGACGCCCCACACCAGCACGATGGCATTTCTGAGGAGTGGATTTCAACCAAACACTTTCGGAGAAAGCCAAACCGCAGCGGGCTGACAAGATCTCTTACATTTCACCGCCACATGCTCACCTCTCACACACACAAACAATCAAGCACCGCTTCACTTCAGCAATTAGCAAAACACAAACGAAGGAGGCCATACAGCCGGGCATCCACAAGGGGTCAGTAAGAGGTTAGCTGTCAGACACTCCACTCGTATGAGCAGTGGTTCCCAAACTTTTCAGCCTTTGACCCAGCAGCAGGGACCTGAGCCCCCAACTGTTGTTGGATCATAAACATTGTTTTCACCTCAAAAAAATAAGAGCATAGCAACAATATTCATTATGCTATTTTTGTCCATTTTAAAAGGGATCCAGATTAGTTGTAACATTAGACTTTATTTAATAAACATATATTTTAATTGTAAAATAAAGACTGTAAAAATACTATAGTCTGCTTATTGCTTATTACTGCTGGTTATCCTGTCTGGGCTTTCCTGAAAGCAGACAGGAAACACAGACAGGATTCCATGCAACCTTCAGGTGAAAATGAAGACCCCAAACCCAGACCCAAACC